AGCAGGTGTGAGTGCAGAAGTGTGTGTGCATGCATGTGTGTGCGTGCATGTGTGTGTGTGTAGCAGGGACCACCTCCCCCCGCCCCTTGGCCCTACATGAACTAACGGTGCACAGAGATGTCTGCCGGTAAGCAGCGTCCTGGGGAAGAAGGCTGGATTCAGTTAGGGTGGAAGTGGAGGGACTTTCAGAAACTTGAGGCTTCCCTGGTGTTCCTTGGGGACAGCCACAGTTGCCCCTGGTGGCCAGGGCTGCCAGGTCCTCTGTTTCACTTCTCCATCATTCTATCCCACTTGCTTTCTTTCTTCCTGAAATTGGCCTGATTATCCAGCCCTCATACACAAGCATGCACACCTTTCTATCATTCCAGAGAGATGCTGGGTGGGAGGCCCCCTAGAGCATACTGGCTCGGCCTTTCCAACAGCCCCATGCAAAAACTGCGATGGAATCTGTCAAGGCCTCCCTCTGCTGGGTCCTTCCCTTTCAAGATTTCCCACGTCCTCTCAGCAGCGTTGCCGGGGAAGGCCGTGCATTATTTAGGACTATTTTTTTTTTCCTGTGCAACACTTCTCAGGCATATGAAGTAACTTGAGAGCCCTCTGACCAAGGAAAGAATGAGGGCCCCACCTGGGCTTGGGGAGACCATCTGTTCTCATGATGCTCACTGGCACAGAGTTCAGCTAAAGATGCCTGTGTCCCAGCTGAAGTCACAGCCCTTTGCTGGGGAAAGAGGGGAGCTTGTGAAATTCTAAATGCCTTCTAGATGTGAGCCTAGGTCTCTGTTGGCCAAGACAGGACTGGCTGGAGCAGGGATGCTGTGTTTCAAAAGTGGCACTCTTGTGGGTGATGAAACACTTGTCTGTTAACATAATTAACCTGACAGGTTCAGATGCAGAGGGCAGAGGAGCCAAGTCCCTGGGGGAGGAGGTGACACTTGACTTGAGTCCTGAAAGAGGAGGCATGCCTGTGGCAGGAAGTACAGTACAGGGCAGGGCGTTCTGGGTAAAAAGAAGCCTCAAAAGAGGGGGTACAGATGTATGGAAGCCATTCTGTGTCTTCAGACACGGAAACCACAGTTTGTGGACAGTAATTAACAGTCACTGACACATACTATAGGTACTGGCACTTGTGTGTCTTTCATTTCTTCCTTTCCTCCTCTTCTCCTTTTTCTCCTCCTCTTCCTCCTCCTTCCTCATTTGTTTTTTATTTCAGTACTGGCGATCGAACCCAGGGCCTCCTGAGTGCTAAGCAAGTGCTCTCTTGCTTAAACCCCCAGTCCTTTTGTTTGTATTTTGTTTTGGGGAAGGGTCTCACTGACTTTGCCAGGCTGTCCTTCAACTTGAGATTCTCCTGCCTCCATCTCCCAAGTTGATGGGATTATAGGCAGGCACCACCACACTGGTTCTTCTCATTTCTTTTCTTGAAAACAAAGCAATAGTGCCCAGGTGTACTAAGTTTAGACGTCAAGGCTACCACTCAGACCATCTCCTGTTTCACTGTTATCTAAAATTACCACTAAGGAATTTCTCCTGTGACCTTAAAATTCTGAATGCAAGGAATGAGGGTAGGGTGGTGGTGACTCATGTCTTGGCATGTCCCCACTATAAGCAGGGAAGACTTCAGAGGCCCAGGGAAGCAGCTGAAGCCTCCAATCCCTGTGCCAAGATCTCCACCCGTCTCCATCTCAGACACGGACTGTCACAAATGATGAGCTAATGTCCCCATTTTATGGATGGAAAACATAAGTCCTGGGGCTTACTGGGGTCATGCAGAGGGTTAGTGACAGAGAATTAAGGAAAATTCACTGGAGAACTTCCCACTAGATTGCCTTCTGATATTTTTAGCATCAAACCCAGACACACAGCCTGGCTCCAATAAATCCTTATCAAGAGCAGGACCTTGCTGTCACCTAGGATGCTAAACTGAGGTATTTTAGAAGCACAGTAAGCATATTGTGACTTGAGCTGCTGGTCAGAGACAAAACATATTTCAGAGAAAACACTGTTAGGGCAGTGGGCAGGCTGTGTCATTCCATTGTCACAATAGCCCACAGATGGAGGTGTTGCTGTCCCATTTTACAGATGAGAAAAATGTGGCTGGGAGAGGAAGTTGGTCCACCAGGGCTGCAAGTGGGAGCTGGGCTTTGAAGCCAGTCCCTTCGCCACTGTGTTCCATTAAATCAGACAGGCAGGTGCTCAGTATGTGTGAAGGCTGGGTCCCTGACTCAGTCAACAACTTTGGTTTTTTTTAAGTGTAAACTCGATCTTGCGGTATAACATATTTGCAGAAAGCAGTCAAAGTTCAGTGTGATGGCTGGTGTTTACAAACTGAGCGTGCTGATAGAACCAGAACAAATATTAAGGAGAACAATACCAGCCCCAGGCCCCCCTCCCTGCCACTGCTCCCCATGGTGACCACCACCCTGCTTTTGACTTTCGGAGCTTGCAGGAGTCACACAAAATGCTCTTTTCTCTCGTTCAGAATTGCCTTTGAGACTCAGCTGTGTTTTCAAGTATCATGGAGTTCCTCCCCTCCCGGGGCTGATCCACATTTTACTCCAAGAAGACACACAGTTTAGTTTTGCATTCCACTGCTGAAGGGCAGTAGGAGTGCTGCATCTGGTTCAGTGTCGTTGTGGTCATGCAGAAGTGGGTGATGGTGAACTGAAAAGTGGCCAGAGCTGGGCAGGGAGAGGCTGGGTGCTGGGTCACAGTCTGCTGGGCACCTAGGAGGCATGCCACTCCAAAAGCAGCCTCGGGGCTGTGTGACTCCGGACGTGCCTCTCCACCTCTCTGAGCCTCAATTTTCTTTTCTCTAAAGCAGGCATACGGTCACAGAGACCTCAGAGGATGTACAGGGACCTCAGTGAGATAAACTTAGTATAGCAACAGGGACAGAACAGATGCTCAGTGAGTTACGAGGTAAGGTAGATTCCAGCTTCCAGTATGAACTCCTGGCCTTGCCACTTAACCAGCTGTGCCTCTTTGGACCAGTGGGCTTCCTCTCTATTTCTGCTTCTGCCTCCTTAAAACAGGATAATAATAATAATAGTTCATATTCCAAGGTGGCTGTGATAATGACTTTGAACTTGCATCCTTGTGCGTCCATACAAGTAAAGCGCTCAAGAATGCCTGGCCACAGCGATAGAGCTCATCCCTCCTCTGGCTCCGTGAGTGGCAGTGGCTCATTCAGTGAGTGCTCCTTTCTCCCAGCTTCCAGTGACTCAGGCAGCAAACGCTGGTGCTTTGGAACTAAAAGCAGATGACAGGAACGAGCCAGCTCCTGGAAAGAGGTTGAAGACCGAGGATTTGCTCAGAGGAGAGCAGGGGGCCCACAGGGGCTGGATTGGCAGGGGCAGTGGGAAATTTGGGCCAGAGTCGGTGAGGGACAGGGAGCGGGGCTTGCTGGAGTAGAGATGGGAATGCCCTTGGGTGCATTAACGCTGTGACTGGGGCACGTGATAGGCCTGGGCCTGGGAAAGAGGGGATGGCTGTCCTCCCCTGGCCACCCTCCTTTTGTAAGCGCGTGAAAGATAATAAGAAGGGAAAGTGCTGGAGGCCACTGTCGCTCAGGGTCTGGCTTCGAGGGAAGGAAACAGGATGTGGTCATGTGTGTGGCTTCGTGGCTTCGGATGATGGAGTCACGGGGTCAGCCCAAGGCTGCCCTCGTTAACTCTGCAGCTCTAGGACCTGAAGTTTCCTGTAAAACCTAGGCCTGGCCACCTCCTGTCCCTCCCAGTGCTGCTCCTATCACAACCCACGTGTCCCTGTTTACTGCTTATGGTCTCATTGGTCCTCGGAATGCTTTTAGGACTGATCCTGTTACCAGAAGAGTATAAGATGAATTTCAGGCTCTTGTCTGCTCTGTAGGCCTGGGGAGACTAGGTCAGTGCAATCCACGTGACCCCTCATGGGACCATCGTCATCCAACGGATGCAGGCTCACCAGCTCCCCACCCTCCCTGCCTGTCCTGTTTTATGCCTTTGCACAATGCCCTCCTCACATGCATATAACACTCCTATTCACCCTTCAAAACTTCATTCAGAGGTCCTCTCTTTGAAGCTTCCCAGCAGGAACTTCCAGGTCTGTCCCTATGCTTTTTGGGTTATTGTATATATAACACTCTTCTCAAATTATTCATGTGTTTAAAATCCCAGACCATGAACCCTCTCCCACTTCTGGGGCTGGCTTTAGCTCTGGCTTGGTTGTTTCTGTATCCCCAGGGTCTATCAGAAGGCCTGGAAGAGAATAAGTACTCACGGTGAGTGTCTGCGATAAACCTAGTTAAACTTGGCTTATTAACCGATCATAAATTCTATTGCTTGAAGATTTTAATCTATGAATTTTGCCAGAACTAGATGTTGGAAGAAAACACACATCCCCTGATCATCAAAGGAAGCCAGAGGGAAGAGTTTGAGGGTTGGAAGGCATTTCAAAAACCTTCAGAATACAGACTCCTTTTCTTTCTTTCAATCTGTTTGAGGTGGAGTCTCAATTTGCTGCCCAGGCTTGGCCTTGAACTCCTGGACTCAAGCGATCCTCCCACCTCAGCATCCTGAGTAGCTGGGACCACAGGTGGTACCACCTTGCAGCCAGTCTGACTTACTTCTAAGAAAAGCACCCTGCAGAGCCACCTGAGGCCTGGCCACCTTCAAACATTTTGATGGTGACCTGCAGTGAGAACTTTCCACACTGAGTAAACACCCACAGCAGAGAGAAAGCGATGTGAAGCCATCTTGATCCTTGCTCCAGCTCACTTCTGCATTTTCTCTCTTCTTTTTCATATTTTTGCTCCTTTAGAATAAATTGCTACATCCCGCAGTTTGACAGACACTGATGTAGGCCTCTGGCTAACGTGACCAGAGACTTCTTAGGCACAGCCTGGACCCTAGAGCCTGGCTCAGGGTTGCAGGGCAGGATGGGCAGTGGCAGGTTCAAGAGGAGCTGTGGGGGGAGGTGTGGGAAGACCCTAATGGCTTCTCTCTCTCCTTCTCTCTCTGCAGCTGAGCCCCTGCCTCTGATGGACCTGTGCCGCAGATCCATCCGTTCAGCCCTGGGCCGCCAGCGCCTGGGGGACATCAGTGCTCTGCCTCTGCCTCAGTCTCTCAAAAACTACCTGCAGTACCAGTGATGGGCACTGAGGGCAGTGGACATCCCGTAGGACTGGGCCTGCCTGCATCCACGGTCCTCAGAGCATTCAGGAAGAGGTCCTCCCTGGTGCCCAGGACAGTCAGCTTCCAAAGGCCAGGATCCAGGACTTTGGGACCAAACCTCTGCTGCCAACCAGTACCGATTGCCTGGAAGCCACCTCCAAGGCCACATTTCCTTGGAGGCCAGAAGGGCGCGGAGCCTGCACACTGCTTGTGTGTAAATGCTGTCCAGTGACCAGGACACAGCAGTCACCCATATGGAATAAAACCATTTGGAGAGGAGATGGTGTTGTGAACCCCGCTGCAGAGGAAAATTGGCCAAGGTGGAGAGAAAATTGTCTCTGAATAATGAACAAGAAACCCTGCCCCCCTCCCGGCCCTACCTCTGGCCAGGGCAGCAAGATTGTCCTGACAGTTTAGGACTTATGCCACTTTGAGAGACACCTCCCAGTAGAGTTGGCAAGTGGACAAAGTGACATTCAGCCACCTCAGGCTTACCTGGCTGAGCATTGATTCTTTGCCCCTTCCCTGCCCTCCTTCTGGCTATTGACTGAGCTCTCTGGCTGTCCAGGCCCCTCTATTCAGGGACATGAGTCTGATGCCTCACCCAGGGACAGAATTTACTCTTGGTTACGATTATTTTTAAGTAGCGTTTGCATTTCCAGAGAGCAGTAGAGTGAGGAAGGTCCTCAGGACAGTCAAAGGTGCTAACGGGGGCTGGAGGCCTTGGGGCGGCAAGTCGGAGACCTCCTGGGGCTGGGGTGGTCCCCTGGGGTGCCCAGGCCTCTGGCAGTATCATTCAGGGTAGAGCCTGGCTTTCTTTGAGCAAATTAATTTTTCACTTTAGGAGACTTCCATGAGTTTGCTTCTTGTTTCAAATGTGTGTGCGTGTGACGTGCTGTTTATCAGCTTCGATCCCTTGGGAGCTGCCTTGTAACTGGAAGTGGGGGGGCGGTGAGGAAGATACACCCTCCACCCGCCCCAGCCTGGTCCCCTTAAGATGCTGCTGCTGACTGCCTCCATCCCTTGGCAACCCTTGTGTATTTCAGATGCTTCCAGCCCAGACTCCTTTTTAACTGGAAATCATCAAGTTAGTGGGGTACCAGGGCCCCAGATGGCACTGCCTCCCCCACGTTAATGTGAATTTGACCCATGAATGAGGGACATTTCTAATAAAGTTTGTCATCTAGCCCTTTGCCTGTTCATGGAGTGCTCTTGGGGGAGGGGCAGGGAAAAGAGTTTCCATCACCCTGGGTGGTCTGTCCTCACAGAAGTCAGGTCTGTAGGTCCTTCTCCACGCACTTTTCTCCTCTTTTATCTGAAGTCCCTACTTTGAGCCCAAGTGCCTGACCTGGAAGAGAGAATGTGCCTGTGTCCTGCAAAGCTGGCCATGATGGTAGAAAACTGAGTCAAACTTCTCGTGCCAGGGCTGTGATACCCCAGGGGTGGGCGGCCCTGTTAGGGGGGTGGGGGCAGAGGGTCAGGGGCAAACCCTAGACCTGGAGGTAGAGCTGGATGTGGCTTTAGTAAAGGTGAGTTCCAGACAGGACCAGGCTCCAGGGCTGGTGTAGCTTAGGAGTCAGAGTCAGGCAGGGGTCAGGGTGGTCAGGCAGGAGTCTGAGTTAGGACCTGCACAGCATTTGCTCAGTAATACCAGCCACCAACAGGCCATGCCAACCTCCATGAACCCAGTGCCAGGCTACTGGTCCCCTCTCCAGGAGGGACATTTGTAGTGCAGCATAAGAAGGGGAAAAGGAGCTCAGAAAGGGTGCAGGAGGATGGGGGATAAAGGGTGGCTTCCTGGAGGAAGAGGCTCTTTAGACCTGCTACTTTAAGGGAAGACACCCTTCAAAAGAACCAGACTTCTCAAATGGCTCAAATGTCTATCTAGCAAGCATGAGGCCCTGAGTTCAAACTACAGTCCCACCAAAAAAAAAGAACCAGGCTTGTGGCCCCTGCCTGACCTCATACTGGCCTCAGCTTTAAGTCATTGTGGTTGCTAGAGGCAGTTTCTTGCAGAGGCATGGCCTTGGGCTTTGACTCTCAGTCATCACTTACACACTATGATCTTGGAGAAGTCATTCCCTGCTCTGCACACTGGGGGACTGGCCCAGGTGGCCAATGACAAAGGACCCACCCTCTTCCAACTCCTAGGGTCCCAGTCTCAGCACCACTTTCCAGCTTGGATGTACCCAGCTTGTCCTGGCTTCCAACACCCCTCACCCCAACCATGTTGCTCCCATCCTCACTTCAGGGTCTGGCTGAGATTGCCCCTCCTCCAGGAAACCCTCCTTAACCATCCACCAATGTCTGCCTGCTCTGAGCAGTAGGGTGGATGCCTCTCCCAGCACCCAGGACCCTGCCCCAAGCACTAGGACTGGAGCTCCTTCTGAACCATGGCTTCATCTTCCCAGCAGACTGTGTGCCTTAGTGGGGCATGGCCTGTGTCTGCACTGCTCACACAACTCTGAACCAGACATGGGCTCCACCAAGGCATACAGAGGTAGAGGGGAGGCAGAGGGGCAGCAGAGGGGTGGCAGAGATGAAGAGGTGGATTTCTCTGTAGCAAGGGAAGTCCAAAGTGGGGTGGGGGCTCCCAGAGCTGAGAACTTGTCCTTGAGCGCTCCTGGGTCTCTTGCCTTTTGTGCCCTCAGGAAGTTGCTAGGCATTTGCATAGCCCCAACACTGTCCAGGGAACAGAATGATCAGGCCCTGCCCTGCCCTGCTTGAGCTCACATTATAAGGGAGACCCTCCCCCCCAAGTAAAGAGGTGACAGGTGATGTTGTAAGGAGATGAGTGGGGGTGGACCATACCTGGCCACAGAAGGGACTGTATTACTGTGATCAGGGAAGGCCTCTGGGGAGTCACTGAGTCACACAAAATGAAACAGCCAAACACGTGAAAGTCACAGAGATGGGTTGTCTAGATGGGCAACTTTGGCTTTCCCAACATTCTCAGAGAGGGAGCTCTAGAGTCCCTGTGAGCTGAGAAAGCTGCTATGAGATTGGGAGCTGCTGTGCTGTCATTCTTGCCAAGCCCAGCTCTGTGTCCCTGTGTACAAGTGCCACACACACCTCTAGGGATCCTTGTACATCAGTGTTCCCTGTGCACACACAAGAGCTTGCACACCAGGGAATAAGGGAATGCTGTCCCAGCCCACCCAGCATTTACAGAGAAGGGATGAGGCTGAACCATGGGCATTGCCAAGTCCAACGCCATTCCCTAACAGACATCCTGAGAGCCTCAAGACTGGTGCCAGTGACCATAGTAACCCAGTCCCTCCCATCTTTGCCATATTCTCCAAGGTTTGGCCTCTCTCTCTCTCTCTCTCTCTCTCTCTCTCTCTCTCTCTCTCTCTCTCTCTTTCTCTCACCTATTTCTGCAAGGGCCAATTGCTTTTTAACTGTATGTGAATAGCACATATAGTAGGCACTGTGGGTGTGGCACCCTGCAGATCTGATCCCTGCTGGGTGCCCTGATTCACAAACTACCCATCTAACATTTCCATTTCCTGGATACAACCCATTCCTCTTCCCCTTGCTTTTCTCTTCTGTCATCTGCACCAGCTGCTGGCTCCTTTATGGACCACCTTTCACTGAGAAATAATGACTCAGTTCCTCACAATGTTACAACAAAAGTAGTAAGTCGTAAGAAACCCAGTTATATGGCAATTGATTTGTGCCAGGGCAGCTCTCTCTGCTCCCCTAGGACCTTCACTTCCAGCCACAGCCTCTGTACAAAGAGAGGACCGTGTGGCACTCCTCTTCAGGTCCCCAACAAAGAATTCAAATGCTTAGTTTTGGTCCGAAACACAAGGATGTAATCCTCTGTTCCCTGTAGCTCTGTGGGTCCTCATCACACCCCAGCCTGTGGATGCTTTATGTCTTACTGTGTCTGTGCATGTTTTAATAAAACTGAAACCCAGAAAGAAAAATCAAGTAATTTAGTAGACAAGCCCAGATTTCAGACTTCTCTTGAATAACAGGGAGATGTGGTAAGGCCAGGTCCATGCTCCTTCACGTTGATACTGGCCAAAGCTGAGTAGTGACAGCCTCTGCTCTGTGGTCCACTTCCCACAGCACATTGAGACCTGTCACTGCCACCCTTCCTCATGAGTGTGAACTCCTGTAGTCCTCGTCAGTGAGTCAAACACACACACCCTGACCAAAGGAGAGTACTAGAGAGAAGAGTTGGCTAGTCCTGCACTTGACAGTGTCTCATAGTCTCGGCCACTGTTGTTCATGGAGCTCACAGACACCCAGAGTCTTTACTCAAATACTGAAGACAATGTACAAAGGTCTGCTTAGACTGGGAGCTCCTGCAGGACAAAGACAAGGACTCATGGGCCTTCTTTTTAATGAGCTGGGTGGTATAATTAGACAGCCTAGCTGCACACATTAGAGTCTCTTGAGGAACACTAAGAGAATTCTCAGTGCCTGGAACACTAATTCAATCAGAACCTCTGGGAGGGGAGGGTGTGGCAGTTTATAAAGCTCACTGTACAATGCCAACACACCATGAGGTTGAAGCCCTGGACTAGGTGGAACAGAGGGTGACATTAGCAAAATGCACATTTCCAAAGAAGGGAGGAGGCTGAGCATGGGTAGCACGTGCGTGATCAAGTCCAAAGTCAGAGAGTCTTCCCCAACCCTTCCTCCTTCTCTCCAATGATGCCAGGATGTTGCTCTTGAGAGTGGAAGAGGAGAAAGAAGAAGAGGAGGAAGAGGAAGAGGAATACCAGCCACTTTTGCCTCAATGCTACCACAATTCTTGACACATTGATTCCAGCCCCATCTACTCCCTGACCTGTGAGGCCCATGATAGTTGCAGAATTTCCCAGACAGGGTTGTCATGAGTGATTGGAATACTTTCAGAATAATGAATAAAGAGAACACTGAAACTGATTTGATCTTGAATGTACTGTTTGAATAGAAGAAGTAGAGAGAGTAGACCAAGTAATAAGAATGGTTTGAAATGATGGTATTTCCAAAC